GGTGATCACTCATAGGAGCAACACAGTGCTTGGAAAGTGTTATGAGTCAGGCATCCCAAATTCTCATTCCATACAGTTAAATGGACGTCTTAGATGTGCTTCTCCCCATATGAGCCTGTGTCTTTCAAGAGCGCTCTGTGAATACACTTTGTTCAATGAGCTTTTTGGTGATCCATGGTATCTGTAAAACTGTCCTCCAACACCACATTTCAAAGGACGTATAGCTATTGTCACAATAGTTCCACATCACTGACTGAATTTTCCATAGGGCTGGAACCATAGGATATGTAGTCTTACTAAGATACGGGAAAGTACTATTTAAAAATGATAGTTACTTGACCAGAGTGAAACCAAAGATTATTTGTACTAAAAATACCTTTAGGACAAGAAAACTTCAAAATAATAATCTTACACTGCAACAGTTTGAAAACATGCCTGGGGGTGTAAAAACAAAGCAAACGTAGACTGAGAAAATTATGAGCAGCTTTTTCCTTGTCTGAAAACACCGTTGGTGGTGGTGGTGGTGGGGAACACTGTTTTTTCGATTTATATTCCCACTTGCCATCACAAAACAGAATTTCATCCTGCATCCCTTTCCAGGAAAGTTAGAATCACAGGAAGGGGACACCTTGCCAATACATAAACAATGACAGAACGTTGAACATGTTACAAATGCTTGGCTTTATCTTACATTGCTCCAGATGCTGAGTGGGGTGGAGCGGAAACAATCTGTGAAGACTGATCCTTGTTAGAAACGTGGACAATGAAGCTGGCAGAGAAATCAATTTACAAAGAAAGATGAGTTAAATTAGTATCATTTAGTACTAATCTATCTTCAAAATTATGCATGGCAGGTGAAACTGCAATTCTCCACATGCAAACGCTGCAACTCCTGTATTTTACAGGTGACAGACCTTTACAGATGCAAACTATTGTTTACACATAATCTTTACAGTGTGCCTCTCTCACCCTTTTGTGCTCCCATTAAAGAATACTGTGCAAGCTAGTGGGCAGAACTGGGAAAACAGCTGGTTCAATGAAACACAGCCCATTAACAAGCCAGGCACTGACGTAACAACTGATGTCATGACTGTTATGTCTATGTTATGTTTAAACTGCAGTATTCTGGTTCTCTCTGTTGGGATTGGCTCCCTAATAAAGACTGCCTATTGGTCCTAAAGCCATACAGAATGTCCTATCCTGAGGCTCTGTTAGGTCCAGTCAGACCTCCGGAATCTGGTAACATTGTATATAGTTCTGCTATGAAACCGTATAAATTTGAGTGCCGCTCTTTGCAGAGCAGTCCTGAGCTGAGCAATGTTTTGAATAAAGCCTTTTATTTTGACCGTTGTCTCCTGCCTTCAATACCTAAAAATGACCATATGACGTATAACAGCATGTTGAGGGGCTGCGTACTTGTCAGTCTTCTTCTCACCTATGTGAAGTCCCCCTTCTTTTCACAGCTTACTTCAGACATGTTGTAGCAATAATTATTATCAGCGATTATCAAGTTAACAGTAAGCAGAATTTCAAACTACATTATGAGGAGACTGTAAATAATTAAGCCTAAACCAATGTAGAAAAACTATACTATGGTTCAGGGAAACCGGGTCGGGGGGCTGCCATGTGGTAGAACCCAATTTGCTCCCAAGCCCAATTCAAGATGACGTTTTTGATGTTTAAAGCCCTACATGGCTTGGGACTAGGATATCTGAAGTACCATTGTGGCAGCTATGATGTGGGGAGGCTTTGAGGCAACCGTCTTCTGGACTGAAGAATGCCCAGTCTTCCACTCTGGCCTCTCCAATAAGTTCTTTAAATCCAATCACCCACAATAAAATTAAAAAGGTGACACGAGCTTTGAATAAAGGACTGGTAGCATGTCAGCTACGTGCTCCCTAAATGGTCCCTTATTTGGATATCTCTTAGACCAGGCATCCCCAGCATGGTACCCTTAAGTGCCATGGTACCCACCAATACATTTTCTGGTGCCCGGCAGGTATTTTTAGGAAGTGGGTGGGGCCAGGTAGGGCTTTTGCTCAGCAAGGTTTCTGATGGGCTGTGCAGATATTTTTTAAATTTAATTTGACAGCAGCTGCCACCACAGCACAAGAATCTGGCACTGTGTTACTGAAGTTAAGCTGTAGTAATCATTTTGTTGCTGGCTCTGGCTCCTGAGGCAGCCATTTTGTTGCTGTGCCCACCATGCCGAGTCAGAATTCCAAGTGTGCCTGCGGGGTCAAAAAGGTTGGAGATTCATGCGTTGGTTAGACCAAGCTTACAATTATTTGAGAGGTAAACAGAGATCACTTTTTCTTAGATATTTGACTTGATAAATAAAGACACAGATTGAGATGAACAATAAAGTTTTATTTAACAGAAAGTAAAGTATTTAATAGGGAAACGGTATGCGTGGATGGTTTCAATATATAAAGTAAAACTGGCTCTCAAGTAAAGTAAATAAACCCTGAAGGGAGATTTGATTCCTCTTTTTCTGGACAGGTTACCACTGTAAGTTCAAGACTGCTTTTTTTCCACACAGAGCACCTTTCTACAGAAACTATACACACCAGTTAAGATGGGCCCTTAACAGGATCCTTATTTGTCACATTACAATAAATCTTCTTCCCTCAGACGACCTGAGGTCGGCTCACCCCCTCCCACCCAGTGGAGTTCCATCGGCTCTGACTGGCTGACAATCACTTGGACTTGCATGAAGCCTAAATCACAAGAATTGGTTCAGAGTCCTGGAAGAAAGGTGGGACTTTTAAGGATGATTGCCTCATTCATCTTCTCCCATACGATCCTGCCGGAGGAACTAAAACCACAGGGAGAGGCCCTTTGGCTGTCCCATCCATCAAAGAAGCTTGTCTGGTGGGTTTGCTGAGAGATGGCCTTTTCAGATTATGGAACAAACCTCCCCAGGGAGGGGTGCCTGGCCCCCTCACTCTTGATCTTTAGAAGGCAGTTGAAGACAATTTTATTCATGACAGCATCTGATTAGTTCTTCTGCTTAGCCGCAGTTTTAAATTAGTTAGATTTGAATCCAGTAGCACCTTAGAGACCAACAAGAGTTTCAGGGTATAGGCTCTTGAGAGTCAAAGCTCCCTTCATCAGAGTTCACTTTCACTGGTGGATTTAATGTATTTTACGGTATGGTATATTACAAGCTGCCTCAAGTTCCTATGAGAAAGATAGCTAATAAAGGCTTTAAATACATAAATAGAGCAGAGTAAGGAAGGGCATGACCAGGCCCTAGAAAACATAGGAAAAACAAAATCACTGAACTGCATAATATCTTCCAATTCAAGGCACCAGAGGTAAGAAGGGACCCCAGCTCTAGTCATGAATCTGGGCTTCTGTTTATAAGTCTAAGCACAAAACGCTGTCTCTATGCAGAAACAGAAGCTCAGGAACTAAATACAGTGAGTCCTACTAGAGACTCTCTTAGGAATCTGAGCTATAACCTGAGCAAAAAGAGCAATGACATACAATGGATTTGGTCTATGCAACAAGAGAAAAGCAACATATTACGGTCTGTAAACCATTATAAAAAGGAATCTATTTCATCACCAAGGGACGTATTGCACTCGAACAGCCAACTTAAATTAGCAATCCATGCAAATATCTACCCTTCAGAGGACCATAAAAGTTGTTCTGTGTTGAGCAGCTATTCAAATTGCAGGTGTTTCAGCTATGTGAACCAGTACTGCATCTCCACCTGGCAATACAGAGAACAGCTGGATGGCCACAAAGTTGCTGTTTAACGTGTCTGTAATTAAAATAGTGCCTTCCAGAAAAAAATGTTTTGAAAGCGTTCCTGTTTCCTGTACACAGAACATTTCATTACACAGAAAGCACCAGGTAACCCCTGTACGTGTAGAGTTCTGGCTTATGCCCACATTCTTAAGAACAGCCTTTTTTGGCTTTTGTATAAACTAGCTGGCAATATTCAATAAATATCTGCTCTTTTAAAAAAACATGTTTTATGTAGCTTTAAGGGGGGGGAAGTGACTCGAAAAAGTCTAATCTCTCTCTCTAAGGTAAAGGTAAAGGTTCCCTTGCTTGAAAGCCAGTCAAGTCCGACTCTAGGGTTGCGGTGCTCATCTCCGTTTCAAAGCCGAAGAGCCAGCGCTGTCCGAAGACATTTCCGTGGTCATGTGGGCGGCATGACTAAACACCAAGGTGCACGGAACGCTGTTACCTTCCCACCGAAGTGGTACCTATTTATCTACTTGCAATTTCTTGCTTTCGAACTGCTAGGTTGGCAGGAGCTGGAACTAGAGACGGGAGCTCACTCCGTCATGCAGCAACTCGGGTCTCAAACTACTGAACTACTGACCTTCCACAGCCTGCAGTTCAGCGTCTTAACCACTTGAGCCACCACAGCTCCCTCTCTCTCTAAAGCAAACCCCAAAAGGACTTTGAAAAATATATGTATCATCATCATCAACCTGAACTCCTCTTCACTACAATGATCTAATGCAGACATAAAACTGGCTTCCTGAAAACTATAGCTTTCAAACTAAGATTTGAAACAGGTTCACACTACCTGGCTAAGATGGAATCTAGGTAGTGTTAGTCATAATAACTGGCAGCAACATAGCACTCAGGCATGGTTAAAGTTGATAACAAGAACAGGGAGAGTGAAATTCATGCCACAGAGAGAAGGAAGACTCCAAATTTGCAAACTGTGAGTAGTATCCTTAGCAAAATTTCCAGTGCTGAAAGGGATTTTCAGCAAAGGGCCAGGACTTCTCTGTATCCCCCTCCTGTCCAAATGGCCCCTGAAATGCTGCCCCAGAGGACAGTGGGCTCCAGGAACAGCATTGGGGGGGGGAGATGGAGTTCTGTTGTGGAAGGGGGGAAATCAGCAAAAATCAACTCCCATTTTGATCACTGGAAATATCTACTTGATCCAACCCAGTCGTCTGTAAGGAGCCAACCCTTACATCGACAACAGGTCAATGTTCTTAGGTGCAAAATGTGTGATCAGATACCTTGTGACTTCTTGCTGTAATCGAGCAACACTGGGTACGTAGAACATGACCCCAAAGAAAAGCAAGGGCTCGCTGGCAAATTTGTCCATCTGCTTTTTCAGAGGTTTCTCCAGCTCCACCCATCGCACTTGCTGGCTCTTGCTGTGAAACCAAAGGCCAAAGTAGTGTGTCTAGAGAAAAAAATAATTTAAAAAGATAAATTTATTTTCTAGCAAGTTAAAAAGAACTACATACCTTTCATCTACTCCCATATATTTAAAACTCACTCTTCATCTATTCCCGCTCCATATATTTAAAACTCAGCCTCTGAACATGTTAGTAACAGCATTTTCTTTCTTCCATCTCATATCAAAGTGCAAACCTCTTAATTCTCAAGCTGTAGGTGAATGCACATGACTTTTTACAGTTCTTAGTGATGTTTTCTAGATATCTAGTCTTCGAAGCAGTTCAATATTTGACATGAAATAAGACATCTAACCAGTCCAGTAGAAACAGGCTGTCAAATCTACAGAAACGTCCACTGGATTTAAGATTTAGACTGATAAAACAGCAAAAAACACTGGTCTCACAAAATGTAGGTCAAATTTAATTCCCCTGATAATGCCAGTTGTTGAAGATGAGAACCTGATATCATCCTCACTTTGGAACTGTCAAATTATCCATAACTTTTGGATGGGGTAAAAAAAACAAAGAATCAGTCTAAATCAGCAAACTGAATGAGAGATCTGGGAGACCCAAGTACTGGCAATACACCTGTGAAACTAGGTCTCTCTCTACACTGATCTGGACAGCTTGTGCAGGCTACCAGAAGTGCATTTGATGCTAAACCTAAAATGGCACATATCTCAGTGAAAATATGGTATGGAAACTGTGTGCAGGGGGAAAGGCCAAACAAAGCAATAAATACTATATGTTTCCAGTGTTAAAATTATTTCAATTAAGACAAGTGTGGTTTAAAATTACATCAGCTGATGGCAAGACTAGAACAGTGCCATAATTAAAAGCAGATGTAAAAGTAGTAGATTTCTGCTGTATATAAAGAAAAGCAGATGCACTCCAGTGGGGGAAGACAGATACCTCACTCTTCAGAAAGGAGTCCAGAAACAAACTAACCTACAAAAAACAACACCCTCACTGAAACCCTTTCAACATTCCAAAAAAAACCCAAGTGAGCACAAATTTCACCTTCTGGTGCCTGGTAAAAGACAGCAGATATACAGAAAGTTGCCCACTGTGTACAAATCTAGGGTTGCCAACCTCCAGGTGGCACCTGGAGATCTCCCACTATTCTCCAGATGACCGAGATCAGTTCCCCTGGATAAAATAGTTGCTTTGGAGGATGGACAATATGGCATCACACTACAATGAGGTCCCTCCCCAAACCCCGCCTTCCCCAGGCTCCACCCCCAAATCTCCAGGTATTTCCCTACCCAGAGCAGGCAATCCTATACAAACCAGACACTTACATGACTACTGTACCACAACTACTCTTTATCAAATGCAGAGAAGCCATCTTGTATGCATAACATATTGCTTAACTGACTATCCTAAAGATCTGCTTGGGAGTGCAAGTGTGAAGTGGTCTATTAAAAATTACATCATAAGAACATAAGAGACGCCAATGTTGGATCAGGCCAAAGGCCCATCCAGTCCAACACTCTGTCACACAGTGGCCAAAAATGCCAGGTGCCAACAAGAGGTCCACCAGTGGGGCAAGGACATTAGAAGCCCTCCCATTGTTGCCCCCCCTCCAGCACCAAGAAGACAGAGCATCACTCGCCCCAGAGTCCCTATCTATACCTTGTGGCTAATAGCCACTGATGGACCACTGCTCCATGTGCTTATCTAATTCCCTCTTGAAGCTGTCCATGCTTGTAGCTGCCGCCACCTCTTGGTGCAGTGACATCCATGTGTTAATCACTCTTTGGGTGAAGAAGCACTTCCTTTTATCCGTTCTAATCCGACAGCTCAGCAATTTCATTGAGTGCCTACGAGTTCTTGTATTGTGAGAAAGGGAGAAAAGTACCTCTTTTTCTACCTGCTCTATTCCATGCATAATCTTGTGAACCTCAATCATGTCACCCCTCAGTCATCGTTTCTCCAAGCTAAAGAGCCCTAAGCGCTTTAATCTTTCCTCATAGGGAAAGTGTTCCAACCCTTTTATCATTCGAGTTGCCCTTTTCTGCACTTTTTCCAAAGCTATAATATCCTTTTTAAGGTGTGGTGACCAGAACTGCACACAGTATTCCAAATGAGGTCACACCATTGATTTATATAGGGGCATTATGATATTGGCTGATCTGTTTTCAATACCCTTCCTAATAATCCCCAGCATAGCATTGGCCTTTTTTATTGTAGTCACACACTGTCTCGACATTTTCAGTGAGTTATCTACTGCAACTCCAAAATCTCTCTCTTGTTCAGTCTCTGACAGTTCAGACCCCATCAATGTGTATTTATAGTTAGGATTTTTGGCTCCAAAGTGCATCACCTTGCACTTGGCCACACTGAACCCCATTTGCCATGTTGATGCCCACTTGCCCATCCTCAACAGATCCCTTTGGAGTGCCTCACAATCCTCCCTGATTTTCACCACCCTGAAC